CAGGGGGGTTGGACTAGATGACCCATAGAGGTCCCTTCCAACCCCTACTATTCTGTGATTCTGTGATTCTGTGAGTGGGGGGAAAAAAGCAGACAAGTGTCAGCTGAATTTTACCAGCTTGGTTTTTAATCATCAGAAACCAGGCTTCCTTCCTCACGCTGCACCTGCAAGGACTGGCCAGCCTTCCTTCTAGCTTTTCATGGGAAAAGAATGAGAAGCCCAGCCCACTGTTGGCCAGTTGAAATGCCTCCATTTTTTCCACAGAAAAATAATTGTAAATACATAAATATTTGTAGAAAAAAGAAATCTCCCCACAGAAAAATGAGAAGTGCTGTGTTTATCAAAGGAAAGAAGAAAAAGAAAAAAAACCCACAAAAAACCCCCACCAAGCTTCCGGTAAACAGTGAACTTTCTCATTGGAGAATGACTGCTAGATTAAACAAAAATGACAAAACTCACAAACCCGAGACAAGCTAAAATTCCTCAAAATAAGAACCGTAAAATGGGAGAACTCCCACCCCAGCTTCCCTATTAAGCCAGACAAGTGTCAGACAGTTATGACCACTGTCACAAAGCTGTCTGATTTTCAGACATAATGAGCTCACAAGGCAGAAAGAAAGAAGCAAACCACCCAGACTGCCTCTATTGATGTACCTAAAATCCAGTGCTGCCTGGCTTCACGCTCACGTTGGGAGCACCAGGCTCCTCTTTGTGGCAAAGTATGAATCATGGAAGGAGAGAGGCAAACAATGTGTCTCCGGTTGTGGGCTGTGAACTGCGCAGACGAACCCAAGCAGCTCTGCGTGGGCTGCTCTGGAAGTTCGAACAAGACTCGTATTGAGAAGCAGCAGCTCTTAACCTAGGAACTCTGAACTTTAACAAAACGGCAGCAGAAAATGCACACAAAGCTTTTTTTCAGTTAGCTGAGCAAACAACAGATTTCTCTTCCCTCTGCTGAAAGGTGGGAAACAGCATCCAAGAAAAATTAAGCGAAAAAAAAGGAAGAGAGAAGAGAAGCAAAACATGAAAATGACTGTGTCAGAAGGAGTTTTTACTGAGCGGTCTTGTATTTTAGTGCCATATTGCTTTATCATATGCAATAGAGGGTATATGCATGAATCTTCAGGGGTAAAACAGTGACGTCTTTGCAAAGGGTCTCAGTCTTTCCATGACAGATCAACTGGTGAGTCACTGGAGGTCTCACACTGGCAAACAGATTTGAAACAAAGATGACATCTGAAAGCAGCCGGCATCTCTTTCCTCTGTAGCACACCTTATTAGCAGAGTGCCCATCGAACTCAGCAGACCCTCCAAGCTTTACGAGGCTACAGACTGCAGGTCTGTGCTCAGGTGCTCAGCGACGCACCTAGCACCAGCAAACGGGGACACATCACAAAGTGCCACGGAACACCGTGCTGGGACCGGGGGCCGATCAGACTGTCACCGCGAGCAGTGCTGCATGCTTCAGCGCGCGGGGGACCGGGTCACGGATCACTTGCGTAACACGGTGACTCCTGCTGGGGCAGAACCGGGCTGGGAAAACATCGGGGAAGCAACTAAAGAAACATCAGCGCAGTAGCGAAAAGGGGAGGCAAGGACCAAACCAAATCAAGGTAGCCGTCAGCTGGAAAAATTTGGTGCAAGTCAGGCAGGGCAGGATGTTAGAGAGGGTCCTCTTTTGAAGGGAAATATCCCCCTGAGCAGGGCCTAGTGGGCTCCCTTCCCAGCGGGGAGGAAAACAATCCCAACAGCTCGCACAAAGCAGAAATCACGTCTGCTGCCAAGCCCTCGAGCTGAATCGTACAGTGGTGTGACAGACACGCGATTTCCTCTCAAGCTGACACCATTGATTCCCTTCTCTCCCCACAGTCCCTTCTGCTGCTTCTTCCCCTTACTCTTTCAGTTTTCAGCTAAGATTGGGGCTTGGGGTTTTTGTTTTTTCCTGTCTTGTGAAGTTCTGCTCTCCTCTCCATCACTGTATGCGGCTGACTTCACTGGGGGGTTGGTGACCACCTGACCTGCAACTGAAAGCACACCCATCGCGTGCTCTCCAACGTCATGCATAGCTATAGCCAGGAAGGGGCTACTAAGAGGCGTCTTATCAAACAGAACAGCTGTTTTCAAGAAAAAGAAATATGGAAAAAACTCAGCTACACAACACAAACGCGTGAGGCTCTGCTGCTCGGATGCAGCGTGAGGAGGCATCCTCCAGCCACCCACTCAGCCCAGCCTCGCTCTCCTCTGCCTCAATGCATCTTCACCCCGCGAAGGTGGCAACACGTGCTCCTGCACCTCAGCTCAGGTCTTTGCCAAGGCTCCCGAAGCCAAGCCTCCTCGGTTAAGCCGCACAACTGTAGTCAAAATGCTGTGGCAGACTTTGCATCATCCTTATTCATCACTCTGCATGGCTACATCTAGAGGAAAGCACATTGCCACCCCTCTCTGCATTACAGAATAGAGGGCACACGGCTGTCCTAAAGCCCACCAAAGCCTGTGGCCACCGGACCCCTCCTTCCCATGGAAAAAGGAAGCCTGGGATACCACGTTCCCAATATAGCGACTGGGAAAATGCAAGGTCTTAACGAGATTAACTATCACAATGATGGTGAACGACAGCCCTGGCACAACACCCCGCAGTTTGTACCCCTGCAATACAAATAAAGGAGGTTAACTGCCAAAAATATTTGGAGATGGATTTCTTTCTCGCAGGCAAGACACAAATTAAAGGAAGCTGCCAGATACACAGAGGGTTGTGTTGGTTTTTTGAGAGAGGACACGCACACACACATACACATG